AAAAGTAGCTGGAAGGTTTTGTTGGGTGCAAAAGTTAAGCGATTACGTTCACCCCATTGAGATATCAAGTTCAAACATCTATTGGCTAATCTCTCAAGCCCCGCCCTAGTATCAGATTCCACCAGTAATAAGCCGTCATCAGCATACGCGTTCAGAGTACATCCGGATGGTATTGGTATTGCAAGAAAATCGTCGAAGCCGATATTCCACAAGTATGGACCTAGCACCGATCCCTGAGGACATCCCATTGTAAGCGCCTTCGACACAGAATGATGACAAAGTCTTAGTTTAGTTGTACCTTGTGAAAAGTACGAAAAGATAAGGGAATAAATATTTTTAAAGCACCCCAATTTCAGCAACAGCATGGGCCACCATGCGTTGTCGAAGGCGCCAGATATATCTAAGAAAATAGCCAGCACGTATTGAAATTTTGACCCTGTGACAAACTTTCTAACCGATATAACAGCGTCAGTTGTCGATTTACCCAACGTAAATCCAAATTGTCTATCATGAAATTTGACTCCACCTGGCAGAAGCCGGGGCACTACAAGACATTCTAAAAGCTTTCCTAACGATGGTAACAATGTGATTGGTCGGTAGGATTTAGGATCATCCGGTGGCTTGTCGCCACTTTTTGGTATTATACGAATATTACCGCACCGCCATATACGAGGAAATATTCCTTCAGCAATGCAACGTTTAAAGACAGTGAAAATCGTGTCACCCGAAAGTTTACAAGCTTCTTTTATCATTTTGTTAGATATTTTATCATCGCCCGAAGCCTTGTTTAGCGGCAAGGATCTAATGATACCGAGAAATTCGTCTGAAGATGTTAAATCAGACATTGGAGATAGTGGTGGTTCGATGGCCCACTGCCTGATCTGTCGGTGATGATCAGTGTCGTTTTCCGGTCGATCGTCAGGTACGAGTGAGTCTAAAAGATATTCTGCTGTTTGTTCTACTCCTGTGGTATATCTGTTATTAATTTTGATGTTCTGTATGTATGCAAGGTCGATTGATCTATTTGCCTTAAATTCGTGATACAAAGGTGACCACGGGCCCTCTCTATCGAGTTTATCAACAAGTTTCTGAATTAAGTTTCCCTTGGATTTTTCCACAGCAGCTCTGTTATGGGACCTGGCAACTCTAAGAGCAATGAGAGCATTATTGTACAAATCTCCTGTTACGTTATGTTTTTTAATAGTGTTTCATTTTCTACGAGCTTTCGCGTAACACGACGCCTGCCTTAGAGGTTTTTTTAACGCCTACAATTTGAAATCCCTCATCGCTCGGTTTAATAGCCTTCATAAGAGCTTGTTTCGTTGCTGACGAGGTCGCATAGTCCGCTAAGCGTTCCGTAGTGGGATAGGCAATAACACAAGGCCTAGGAACGCGCGCTTCAGTAGGTACCGGGCACGGAGCGGATTTAGGTGGTAATCGAAGCTTAAGTTTGTCCGCGTACGTTAAACTCGTTTGTTGAGTTGCGATACCCTCCATTTGTCGCTCAAAATTCGCTAACTTCGTTTCGTTGCTAGAGGATTTTATTGCTAACAAATATACGATACCGGTAATTCGTTGAGTAATATCCATAATTGCCGTTTTATTACCTACATTCATCCGAGATCCCTGATCATTAACTAATTCATTAATTTTTGCCAAGTACTCGGTAGCCTGTGAGACTAACTCGCAGTAATTGTATTCCCCACAGTTATAACGACCGTTAATAGACGAAACATTTCCACTTAAATCCGAATTATTAATTCGTTTACTTCTATTGTCTTTCGGCGAGAAATCCGTAGGTGACATTTCGTTAAATGTCCTTTTCCCGGTTGGTGTTAGAAATTCACTTGTACCGCCGGGATCCGGTAACTCGCTAACGACCGACATAGCCAAACAAAGACACACCAAACAACAATTTCAAAAAGAACAAATTTAAAAATAAACAACACGCAAAAAAAAATCAATATAAACAAAGGGTACCTCCTACCCACTTTTAGAAAGAAATATAAATAAACTCACCAATAGTCGTAATAAAATAATTCAGCACTATATTTATGTTTAAAAACCAATAAAAACTTACTGAAATTCTTTAAAACACTATACACAACCTTTAGCCGCCCGCAAACCGGGAACTAGTCGCAGAAAAACACAGAAAACAATATTTAAATTGTTAGCATATGAAGTCACACGTTAGTCGCACAGTGCCGCGAAGGGAAGTGCTTTTGCTGGTAGCTTTTGTACTGTCACTAATGTCAGACGAGGCAGAGAAATGTTTATTAAGTACGTCAATGTTGTCATTTTTGGGAATAGGCTCTTGGCGAGACCTCCCGACTCCCAATGTTCTTAGAAATTTCCAGACTTTTGCTGGATCTCCGTTTTCTACAGAAGAGTGGATATGTTGGCGTTGTGCGTTTCTACACATCTTATTGCAGAGATTTCTCAGGTACACATATTTTTCCAGGTTCGCTTCGGTTGGTCGACGCTTGTATTTGCTTTTCGCTATACATTTCCTGGACATAATGCTGCGTATCTCCTCAGTAAGCCATGAAGCCGTTAAATGTTTAAGTTTTATTGATCGCAAGGGCGCGTGGACGTTATAGAGCTGTATCAAGTTATCTGTGAATATTTGGACTTTATCATTAACACACTGCAAATTTAACGAATTGTTCCAGTTGATGTTTCGCGCAAGGTGAGTGAAGAAACAATCATTTTAGGTGAGTGAGTAGTAAAAATATTAGAAATCGCCAAAAAGTTTCTATTTATATTTTGTAAAAATAATTTAGACGTTTTATGATTAGAAAATCTTATGGCCTATCTCAAAGTATGGATACTTTGTATTTATGTAGCTTAATAAGAGAATCTTTAGCAGAACCCATAGAAAGTTTTGTATTTTTAGGCAACGACTATCTGTAAACCTGCAGAAAAAACACAAATAACACAGCCAGCTTCAAATATTAAAAAACAGGAAGAAGATAAAATAAATCCCGGTAATGAATCACAACAGCAATAGGATTTGACATTAGTCGCAGTGGGATCGCATATCTTCGTTTGATTCCCAGAAAATCTAATTCTGCAGAGGGACGAAGACATGTATCGACAGTCCCTGTTAAGCTCATTCAGGCTCAAACTGATCACCACAAGAGCCACTTAGATAGCAAGTTCGCTGAAACATCAATCCAATATTTGGAGAACATAGCATCCATACTTGGACCAGATCAAGTATTTTTCATATCCCAAGATGATAAAGCTCGAGTCCCTATTGGCGTAACTGCGGCAAATAAGCAAGCACCCCTTCTAATGCACATGGAATATGGAATCAATATGGCGTGCGAACGTTAGTGTTGCCAGTTGCCTCACATTATATTCCATAAAATTGTTTTTAATTACATAATAATCAATTAAATATGTTATATTTCTTAAAACATATTCATGCGCAAAGATGAAAATGCATCATACATTTATATTCGTTACTAGGATACCCTTAGTAAACTCATAAATTCGTTATATCTAAAATTTAAATTTTAGATATGACGAATTATTTAGTAATTTTATACTTTAAATTATATTCATTAAATTTGTATTACCAAAATGTCAGAGGCAAAGAGTTACTTGTAATGATAGCTTATAAATTATTTTTGCCTTGTCTTTGTTATGCCGTTTATTTGTTGTCTTTTTCTCATATTAAGTTTTTTTACATATTGGTTAAGTATTTTTTATATATTGTTTTTGGATAAATTATTGCAGTAGTGTCGTTAAATGTTGTTTTTAAACTAGAATTATTAGTGTTGTTAATTATTTTTAAAAGCTCAGTGTAACAGTTAACGCATGTCGTGGTTGCCTGTAAATATGATAACAGTAAATCTAACTTTTTATTTTCTCTATGTATATTACTTACTGTATATCACGTTGGCGATCCTAAAATAAAATAAAAATATATTTATTTCACATCAGAATTCTATATAAAATATATTTTCAATGGCAATTTACTTTAAAAACCAATTAGCCAACCAAAATTTCTCATTATTATTATAGAGCTCATTATTTATCATTATTATTATAGAGCTCATTATTATAGAGAATACGATATTGTATTTTCGGTGGCAACATTTTACAAATGTATATATTCCTCTTATGTACTTTCTTTGTCTTTTTCTTTTTCTTGCTTACCTACCCGCCCTACCTCATGTTGGTAGAACAAAGTCGACAGGCCCTGGCCTGGACAGCGTGCACGCATTTATTTGTTCTTTTCGATCCTTTGTTTGCCACGTCGTAAAACTCGTAGGTAGGTCAAAAACAAAACAAAGCGTTAGAAAACGGTAGTTCGTTTTAAAAAAATATTTTACTAAGAACTATGTGCAGTAGTGTTTTTAGTGTGTGGTGTTGTGTGCCTATTTTTTTTGACGTGACAACGTCTTATAATTTGATGGAGCCGGCTGCACGCACGAAAAAACATGACTCATGCGGCGTTACCTCGCTCTGAGGAGTTCCATTTAAGGCGTGAAGTGCAAGCGAGAGCGCGGAACGAGTGACAAAGAGGCACAATCGGCCTCCGCGTTCGGCAGCGTTCGACATCTGTCTCTCTCCTACTTGAGTGAGCGATGCGACCGCGTGGACAGCTGCTACTCGTATACAATAATACATTTTTGAAAAATGCAACCATTCCATCAGTATTTTCTTATGACGTTGTCACGTTCAACTATCGTCAGTAAACCGACTTTACAGACAACCGATTTTTTTTCATATATTTTTCAGTATTTTTCAGGAAAATATGTCGTTCAAAATAATTGAAACAATAGAAAAAGGCCAAAAACTACTGTGCATTATACCTAGTTTTTGGGAGTCTAATGGTATTTTAAGATGGCCAAAAAAGGCGATTAGATATCAATAAATTGGTCAAGGACGAATATTCGCAGCCTGTAGATAATTGGTCTTCTTCACATTGCTGTGTCAAAAGACAATTATTATCATCATACGACGAAGCAACACGAGAACTAGATCTCATGCTACAAAATAGCGACACCGAATTTGATAATCAGACAGAAGTAATCACAACAAATAGTAATATTAACTTCAGTAATTACAATACTCTAGCTGGGCAATTGGTAAGCATTATTTTGTTACTTCATTATTAGTTAGCCTTCCCCGCATGTCTATTAGACGTGACTTTATGAGTGTTTAATATATGTATAGTATCCCTACATACTTAACATTTTGGGCCAACTCCATATCCAGACTACGGTCTCTCTAAAAGTCAAAATGTTTGCATAGCGATTGACAAAAACATCATTAATCCATTTTATGTGTGATTTCAGGCACTTAATCAACCAGAGAAGTCATTAACTTCATCTACAGCTACAACATCCACACCGGTTCTTCCAACAACTGCAGCTGAATACGTTATTCAATATATAAATGACTCTGATGTGGCAACACAAAATACTAATTTCGAAATACAAATTCCAACACAAATACAGCAAAACACTGATGTGAATCAGATTGAAAATTACCTAAAATTTATTTTAGACAATCAAATAAATATGACACAAACCATAAATGTTCTAATGGACAACCAGAAAAAAATGTTACACAAATCCGCAAGTCTATCAGTGCAAATAGATTACGAGTTTTCCAAGTGTGACCATACTAAAAATACAGACGTGGTTACACTGGGCAAATCCAACGAGATTGAAAATGATACTTTTGTCATAAAACGTATTGATTCAGTTAAAGAGCTAGAAGAATTGGAATCACTTTTAACTGACAAGCAGCAAAAAAATAAACTGCTGAAGCAATACTCTTTCGTATGTTCACAATCGGATGGAAGAGGCGGAACCTGTGCATACAAAATATTAGATATGTTTTTTACTGATTATGATTTTATTATGATTTCTTATGCAAGTGTTCCTGGACTGGTGGTAGTAGAGGTACTAGTGATAACGTAAAAAATCCTCTAAAGGCTTATAAAAACGTCCTTAAGTTTTACTACGAACTGATACATATCTGGAACCAAACTTATAAAAATAATAATAATAATAAATCTCTTTATTGTACACCAGGTATCAATATATAAAGATTAACTTAAGCTAGGTTAGACAGGTACAAATAGCGGCCTTATCGCTCAGAGGCAATCTCTTACAGGCAACCTTGGTATGGAGAGAAAAACATAAAGGCAAGGAGGTGTAGGGTAGTGGCTGGTGTACTAAGAAAATACGAGTAGATTAGGAGAGGAAATCAATGTAGCATCTATATAAATATAAAAAAAAAAAGTGATAATTACAAAAAAATAACTGGTAGGACTAGGTCTAGGACTCTGATACGACTTAGGTGAATATATGACATAGGTACTAGAAGGAATATGCCATATACTATATGCTAAATAAGACTAGTGGTGTTATTAGATACATACAAGTAAATAAATAAAATAATGTGATTTACACGCAAATGTATATACTTAAATATATCTATAATATATATTAATAATATACAAATAATAATACAAATATATATACTTAAATATAAGAAATAATGTAACCTTATTGACTTAGAAGGCGGTTAATAATTATTGTACATTTATGTCTCCTAGGTAATGTGCTTTCACTTGTTTCTTGAAGGAATCAAGTGTTTGTGCACGTCTTATTACGACCGGTTCCACAACCGAACCGCTTTAACAGAGAAGGAGACGTCGAGGAATTTAGTGGAATGTCCCGGCATTTTTAGTTGCAGGTTCTCAGACGATCTCAACAGCTTGGGGTGTGTGTCATTTGAGAAAGTAAACCGTATTTTGAGGTAACGTGGAGTAAAAGGATTAAATAGAATATTATAGAGAAGAGAAAGAATATGTGCATCCCGGCGAAGGCGAATGGGTAACCACTTAAGCTTCTTGCGATATTCAGAAACATGATCATATGCAGAGATTTTGGAGTTCCTCAAGCCTTATACCATTGAAAATAATGAAAACTTTTTTAAAACTGTTCTTAAAAATTCTGTAAAGAGAAAACTCAGCAAGAATAAAAGAGCATCAACAAAACGTAGGAGAACAAACAAGATACACCTAAAAATTCCAATCAAACAAATCAAACCACCAACCAAGTTGAAAGCGTCATGATTGTTGCAGACGGCGACGCTACAAATGAAACAAAAAATACCACGGAAGATGTTACAGAGGAAAGAGAAGAAGACGAGGAGAAGGAAGAGTCCCTTTGTTAGATCACCCATCAGAAAAAAATCTCTATCTTAATAACTACATTTTCATTTATCTTATCGGGCAATGTTATCGTTAATAATTTTATTTTATTAACTTAACCCAATCTAAGTTTATCATAAAAACTTGTTTCTTTTTTGGTTACCTAGCTTTCTGAGAGTGCTTACGTTTACAAACTACATTTAAATCTTACTTGGCTAACGACAGGTGTTGATTGCAGAAACTGAATTTGCAGGTGGGGTGTGTATTATGCGGATACTCTTAGCATTTATAAAAACACGTAATCTCGAGACTGTGATTTTATTGCCAATCTAATAACTCAACATGTAAAAATTTAAAGGACCATGATTGTCCGTGCAACAGTGTAATATATAAGTTCGCATTTAAGAAGAAAACACGTAATCTCGTGACTGTGGTTGTCCTTAAGGCACCAAATTATGTGACTGTTTTTATTGCCTACCTAGTAAGTAAGTATAACAAAGAAACTATTTGATTATGTCCGTGCGACAGTGTTTGACAGATAAGTTAGCATTTAAGAAGAAAACACGTAATCTCGTGACTGTGATTGTCCGTAAGACACCAAATTATGTGACTGTTTTTATTGCCTATCTAGTAAGTAAGTAAAAACTATTTGAGTATATCCATGCGACAGTGTTTTATAGATAACTTAGCATTTAAGAACAAAACACGTAATCTCGTGACTGTGATTGTCCATAAGACACCAAATTATGTCCAGTAGTGTTTGTTTATAGTTCTTTGAACATCTGCGGGTTTAGCAAAGAATAAAAATAAAAATACATTTTCTTGATTGCAAAGTGTTTTATTTCTCTTTTAAACTTAATTTAATTTAATTAATTTAAACTGTATGCAAAAGGGGTATAAAGTATAAGTAATTTTTGTGTTCAGTACATACTAATTTAGATTTTATATCTTTAGAACTAACTACGGTTTCTGTCCGCTTGATAGTAGATAATTTGGCTTTGAATGTGTTTAAGTATGATGATTTAATTGGTTCTTCAAAAACGTCGATTAGGCCAGTAATTTTATCTTCTTAGTAATAGTAGTAATTTAAACTGCTAACAACGGTTTCTATTTTTTTCACTTCCAAAATGTCACTATTGTAACATATAAAATATTTATCCTGTGGTTTCAAAGAAATTTTGAAATCTTTCAAATGTAGTATATTTAGTTTTCTGCTATTGGTAGTCGCAAAGGGTTCAACATATGTGATTTGCTGATTTTGTCTGCTCTTGCACATTTCTAATCCTGAATTTTCACTCAATCTTTTTGCTACTTGAGCAAGAGGTTTGTTGCCATGCCTTAGCATCCTTTTTAACAAATACAGCTTGTTTTCAAAAGGATAAGCACTAAATGTATGAAGTGGACCAAATCGTTGTACTTCATCTGTGAGATGTACTACATTATAGACATTGCTAGTTATATAATCTGATCCATAAAAGTCTTTATAATGCTCAACAAAATATTTTAGAAGCTCTTTTGCCAATGGCAGAAAATGATTATAGTTTTTGTTAGAGCATATTGTAATACCACAAAAAAATGACAGGAAATGTGAAAATGCATCGTGTTGTAATACGTCTGGAAGTATTATTAAGTATTGTAAGTAGTATTACAATGCTCAAATAAAGTAAAAAAGATCTATATTCTGATGCTTTCCAATGAGAAAGACAGTCTAATCCTCTTACTGACCTATGAATTTCAGATGGCAATTTGCGTTTAATAAGAAAATTTGAAACTGTTTCGGTATCTCTGGCACTCCATTTGGTAATATATTTTCCAAAATTACCGTTACGCCAACCAACTAACAGCCGCTTCATTATTCCCAAATCCACGAGGTGTAGAAAATCTGCTACCGGAAAGTCTTGTATCATATCAACAGGCAACTTCAGTAGAGGAGAATCTTTTTTATGGTGGAGCCCATACTTTTTTTCTCGAAATTCTTGGTCTGTTCTAGGGCGGCAAATAGTTTCAGGAAATGTCACTATATGTGATAAGTATGAGTATTCTCCTACTGTGACACATTTTAAGCAACCATGTTTGCATTAAAGTTACATACACCTGAAAGTTAAATATTACAAGAATTATTTTAGTCGAATTATGGTTGAATGAAACTACGAATGAAGCCACATGTATAATTTTATATAACCACATTTTGTATAGTATAACAAACCGATTGCGTAAAAACGAAACGTAAATTTCAAACTGTGCATATCATCTTTATAGTCTCCCGCGAAAACCTAAGTCTTAGAAAATTAAAAAATCACTAAGCCTACTATGTGATTTTTTTAAATAGGCTAAATCCGTAGTTTGTTATAAGTTTTTATATCCTTTAAGTACCTTTAATGTAAGCTCTCGCTGGAGAATCACATATAAAACATCTAATTTCAATAGATATTTTTCTATCTTCGATATAAATTCCTTCTTTAATTAAATTTCCTATTTCTTTTACAAAATCATCTAAATATTGATCAATTTCTTTTGGTTTTCCAACTCCAAAATAGATACCAATAACAAATGGCTCTATATCAGGTCTTTCAAATATATATTACATAAAATTGGCCAAAATTCTTTATTGGAGCTTTTAAATATTGGGAGACCGTCGAAATTGAAATTTAATTTTACTTTGTTTGGAACATCTACCCAGTTTTCCAATGCTTTCTGTAGAGATTTAGTGAGGCCATTATGCCACTATTCTCCTTGTTCTATAGTCTTGATATTATGTATTTGTTTGACAGTACCTATAATTGCTCTAGCGTCCCGTGGTAATTTCATCATTCCCGGAAATCTGCAATTTAGTATTGTTGCTAAATCACTAAGAGCTTTTTGAGATATATTTCTTTCTATAGTCCATTCCTTAATTTTACGACGGAACAGTAAATTTTCTGAAAATTCGTCTTCTTTTCTTGTACTGCTGCATGAAAATATGTCATTATCAGTTTCCCAAGGTTTTATTAAATTTTCACTTTCAATATCAATGTTTGACGTTTTTGCTGCGAAACCTTCGTAAGACGTCGACTGAAGTGGCGCTTCTCTATAAATGACGACTCAGTATCACTAGTTTCATTTGGTTGGTAATTTGTTATATTTTTATATTCTCATTTAATCTTCCTTTTGACTCCACCAGACCTTTTTCCTTTTTTTTATTTTATTTACTATTGCAAAGATAGACGACTGACAATAAAACAGACTAAAGCTGTACTATAGAATTAATTTATTATTATAGTGTTTTAACATCACATCTGGTGTTCCACAAGGTTCTCATATCGGTCCGGTGTTGTTTAACATTTTTGTTAATGACCTGCCTACATGTTTCAATTTCTCAAAAACTTTCATGTTTGCGGATGATTTGAAGTTTGGAAGAGAAGTAGAATCCTTAGACGATGCCCTTTTGCTACAAAACGATATACATCGCTTAACAACATGGTGTGAGCAAAATGAGATGCAACTTAATACTCAGAAGTGCTTTCACATCAAGTTCTCTCGGAAAGCCAACATAACAGAAAACAACTACTACATAGGTAATGAGCGAATTCAGGAGGTAGATCAAATAAAAGACTTGGGAGTAATCATGGATAAGAAGTTTACATTCCTTCCTCACATGGAAAACGTCATTAAACGGGCGTCTCAAATGCTTGGATTTGTAATACGCAATGGAAAAATTTTCCGTAGCAGCAAGCCTAAAATCCTATTATACTGTAGCCTGGTGCGTAGCATCCTTGAATACTGTAGTGTTGTCTGGAGGCCACATTTTGCAGTCCACTCAATGCGTATGGAGCGTATTCAAAAAAGGTTTATGTGGCATTTGTCATATAATCATCAGCATATCAAAAGAGACACTCCCTACAAAAAAAAGCTTAAGATATTCGGTATGAACGCTTTATCGGATCGTTGGGATGTTAACGATAATATCTTTCTGTATAAAATTCTGCATGGCATTGTCAGTTGCCCGTTGTCAGTTGTCAATTTTTTCCAGTAGCTGCCTACTGGAAAAAATTAATTTGCGTGTTCCAGCTAAATACCCTCGGTACCGAATCACACCCTTCTACCCTCCACTACGTAGGACAGTTTATGGAGCCAATTCACCGATTCCCAGGCTCTCAAGGTTGGCAAATCAATCTAGTGCTTTTGTCGATATCAATGCAGTCTCGCTTAATAAGTTCCGATTCACACTTTTGAAATATTATCGAGATAAATAAACGTGCAACCTATCCATGTTTAGTATTTTGTTAGTTTTAATTTTCTTCTTTTGTTTGTATAAAGTGTCAAAACAGTGCATGTTGTATTTGCCTATAAGTATTTGTTACACTTTACTTAATATTATTTGTTTCTAAAACTCTGTAGCATGTAAGCGTGCAAACAAATGTTGGCAACTCATAAATAAATAAATAAACATCATATTTGTCAGAAGTCATAAAACTCTAACACTTACAAGGGTGTATAATTACGCAATAATAATGTTTTATAAAGGAGTTTGCATATACCATTATACTGAATCAAGTATAGAGTGATACCACAGAAAGCTGTAGTAAGTAAGTGATCACATGCAAAATACAGCCTCTGTGCAGTTTGAATAATAAACATTATCTTAATGTGTCAAAAATTCTTAAAGTTTTAATATTCCGTTTTAACAACTTTAGTTTTCGCGGATTCTTTTATAAAGATTTAGTACAGCTTGAGCTGTATAATAACTGGTAAATCAACCTTATAAATATAGAATCTTTTCTTGACACCCTTGTACGTCTCCAAAAGAACTCTAAGTTCTATAAGTGCTGCATATTTGATGTCGGTAACGCCTAAGTGCTCCTTGGGAGGGGACTCACGAAAAAAAAGCACCCCAAAGGAGACAAAGTTCTGCCACGTCCACGCCGTTGTCTCTGGGTAATGCTAAGAGTAGAAAAAAATGTATATGCACAGAATCAACAAAGTAGTCAAAGAACACTCAAATTTTTTTTAAAAAAAATTCAGGCATTTTTGAAAAATTAGATGTTTTGAAATTTTCGAAAATCAAAAATTGTATCCAAAAATTCTGAAAAAATTTAAGAATGTTCTTTAACTAATTTTAAGACATTTTAGTTCTTAATTTTTTTTCTAAAGGTTAGAGTTTTTAAGAAAACGATAGAATAAGATTTTTATAATTTTTTTTCATTCTGCCGCCATTTTGAAAAAACGCGTCGATAAAATTTTCTGAAATAAATTCCTTTTAATGTTCGAGTGCCATGATCACCTCTGATCACAGTAAAAAGTTGATACCTTTGCGCTATTATTGTGAAAAAAAATGCGAAAATTTCTCGTAGGAATGGAATTATGGCATTATTTTTTTGGTCCGATAACATAATAAATAAACACGTTGAAAAGTTAGTAAAAATTCTGATCACCTCGGCGTTAATGGGTTAAGCCATGTTACAATGGCAGAAAAGAAAAAATCCTACAGATATATAAGTACTAGATATACATACATATAGTTTATACATATAAATATCATAATAAATGACAAAATATATATAATATATAATAATATATCTATATATATAAAAATGAATTGCTGTTCGTTAGTCTCACTAAAACTCGAGAACGGCTGAACGGATTTATCTTATCTTAGTCTTGAAATGTTCATGGAGGTCTAGGGAAGGTTTAAAAGGCGAGAAAAAATCGAATAATTTCCGGGAAAATCCTAAAAACAGCCATTTTCTATTTCCCATACAAACGTTTTCTAGAGTCAATTTGAACTTTATTGCTATTCAATAAAGTTCATATTAAATTATAATCACTCACTGTTGTCTAAGCAATTTAGGTGTGTTCCTAACGTCAAAGAGTCAATTTGCAATTTATTACCGCTGCATAAAGTTCAAATTCAATCATATCTATGAAAATAGTCTTCGCGTGCGCTTTTGAGGATCTAATGTCGCGTTCCGAAAATAAACAAAAGTGAATCGCGAACGCGACAAAAAATGTAATAAACTATTAGTAGTACTGATTTCCAATTAATTTGGTCGGCTTCGCGAAACTTTAGTTTAGCTAAATTCAGATGTAACTGTATCAGATCATTTTTTAAGTTTGATAAATCTTAAGTTTTGTCACAAATTAAGTTTCTGAACACAACCATAATATTTGACATTTGATTTGACAACCAATATGTCGATCATTCTGTCGTACTTCAGAACACGGAGATTTATGGCTTAAAGGTAAACTCCAAAAAAAAAAAAAAACAGAACACGGAAAAAAGTATTACGATTGACGATATGGTGTAACGATCATGGTTACGATATTCTATGAGTGCATCCTTCTATCTTTGAGAGTGACGATTACCGCTACGTGCGCGAGAACTTACTTTACTTTTGTGATCCTTTGTGATAGTGACATTCCAAGTAGTGTGCTCTTTTTTTGTTGATATTTTGTGATAGTGACACTTTACTGTTAAGTTACTGTTAAGTGAGCGATAAATTTTCTCACTTTGATTAATTACGTTACGATGCCGAGGAGAAGACGACCTGACTTAGGTCGTCGCAGTCAATCAAATGTTCGAAGAGCTACCTCACGTGCTAACCGCACTGATGACCAGAGAGATACAGATCAAGAAAATAGTCGTATTGCTATGTCAGAATTGCGTTATTTAGTGAGTGACAATGAAGTGGATAGATTTAGAATGCAACGAGTTCGTGCACATCAAACACAACAACAGCGAGCACGACATAATGAAATTGAGCGAATCCGCAGACGCAGTGCTCCTGTGATTCTTGAACGAGCTGCATTCCACTATGATCCGGCAATTGATTATTGTGCCGACAAATCAGTAACAATTGGGGAAATGAAAATAATTTGTAAATATTGTAAGGCGTTAAAATACACTGGTGAATCTACTGGATTATGTTGTGCTGGAGGCAAAGTAAAATTGCCACAATTGGTCCCACCACTAGATCCTTTACGCTCTTTAATTTCTGGGATGGGAAATGATTCTAAGCACTTTTTGGCCAACATTCAGAAATATAACAACTGTTTCCAGATGACATCATTTGGCGCTACACATATTATACAGGACAATTTCATGCCCACTTTCAAGGTATTATACCAGAATATTTTTTTATAATATTCAAGTTTGTACTAAAATATATATACAGCGTGTAACGGAAGGGGGTATCAACCCTGAAGGAGGTGAATGTGCTCATGAAACTCAACAACTTTCCCCAAAGAACATAGGTTGAAATATGAAAAAAAAATTTGGCCCTCCCATAGTAAATCAGCGCCGACATATCCACAAATCGGTTGAAAACGGTGACCCAGTTAAGGTCTGGAAGTTTCTTAAGTCGTTGGGAATCGGCAAGTCACGTCCAAATTGTGCTTCAAAAGATATTGATATTGATTTCCTGAATTCATATTTTTCTGCTGCCTCCGTTTACAGAGCGGCTACCAAGACTAGGACGCTGAATTATCTTTATTCTCTGCCGATTCCTGACTGTTCCCCATTCTTTTTTAGTCAATTTGCTGCATGTGATGTAAGGAAGAGCATTATGTCAATAACTTCTACTGCAGTAGGAAGCGACAGTATCAGCCGTAAAATGGTTCTTCCTATCCTGGATGAGATTCTTCCTGTAATTAGCCATATTCTCAACTATTCCATATCCGTCAACGTTTTTCCATCTGCATGGAAAATGGCTCAAATTATTCCTCTCCCCAAGAAATGTAATCCGTCCTCCTTTTCAGATTACCGTCCCATATCTATCCTTCCTTTTCTTTCCAAAGTCCTCGAGCGTCTCATTCACACACAGTTAACTTCATTTCTTTCAAGAAATTGTCTCCTCAATCCTTTCCAGTCAGGTTTCCGTCCAGGTCATAGCACTACAACAGCTCTAGTCCATATTACGGACGATGTTAGGTCAGGCATGGACGAAGGAAAGCTAACGGTCTTTGCTTTACTTGACTTTAGCAACGCCTTCAACACTGTGGATTTTGATGTCTTGCTGGGTACATTGTGCTCTCTTAACGTATCTCCATCGGCAATTGACTGGTTTCGTAGTTACCTGTACGGTCGCCAGCAGCGTGTTTGTACTGAAAACGTTTATTCTTCTTGGCTCACAACATCTGCGGGCGTACCTCAGGGCGGCGTGTTACCACCTTTACTTTTCGCAGTTTTTATTAACTCAATCACAAATCAATTACTGTCTTCCTACCATCTTTACGCAGATGATCTCCAAATCTACTCACAAGCTACTCCAGATAATTTAACAAAAGCAGTGGATGCCATAAATAAAGACTTAATGCAAATATGTAACTATGGCCTATATAACTATGGAGTATGGCCTAAGCGTAAACCCCACAAAAACACAGGTGATTATTGTAGGTAGTCCCAGGCTACAAGGTAAAATAAACTTTCAGCAAATACCATTTGTTTGTTGCAATGGCTCGGTTGTACCTTACAGTGAAAACCCGGGAAAAAATGATCAGGCCTGATCAGACCTATTCATGCATGATCAGACCTGAAATTTGACCTGATCAGACCTGTTCATGCCTGATCAGACCTGACGTTAGACATGATCAGGCCTGATCAGACATGATCAGGTCTGGACCGTAAAATACGTTCAGATCTGATCAGGCCTGTTCATGCATGATCATGTCTGATCAGGCCTGAATGTATTTTACGGAACAGGTCTGATCATGCCTGATCATGCATGAATAGACATGAGCAGGTCTGATCAGGCCTGATCAGACCTGTTCATGCATGATCAGACCTGGACGTATTTAACACTGCAGGTCTGATCAGGCATGATCATGCATGAACAGGCCTGACGTGTTAAATACGTTCAGGTCTGATCATGCATGAATAGACATGATCAGGTCTGATTAATAGTTAAATACTTAATTATTATTCCTATATCTTTATATGCCGGCTCGATCGAGCTGGACCAACTGGATCCAACTCGAGTTGAATCAGACCAGACATATATATATATATATATATATATATATATATATACATCGAATCAACATGTCTGATGTTATCAATTGATTCAAACAGTCGCCTCTGAATCAAGCCTGAAATGTTGGAAGAAATTTTAAAAAATTAATTCGTAACAATTCTAGATGAATTTATCAAACAAAAGGTTTTAAATGATATAGTCAAAATAATTTTGTATATTGGATAATAAAATTTATTGTTTTTAGACACAAATTAAATTATTGAAATAAATGTACATATGGAACAAATCAAAAAAAATCCGCAACATATTTGGCCGCTTACATAGATAATTGCCCACTGCAATTAGATGACACATATTGTTTATTTGATAATAATTGATTAGTAAGGAAGAATTAATTTTTTTAAAAGGAATTATATGCTCAACTTGTACTTGTTTTGTTGAATGAACACAATATTTAGTCTTATCTATAACATATTCATCGAATCTTCAGTCAGAAAAAAGAGTTTAATCGAGCCGTAGACTGTAGTACTATTTTTAAAATCAATTTGCACTGTATGACTATTTGTTGTGATTATCTTATAAATTTCAGATGTGTAGATCTCATTAAAAATTTTGGCTTGTGAATAAATTTTCAAACTTTTTATGTCAAAATTATAATCTTTCAATAATTGATTATCATTAGGTATCAAAATTATGTTATTAATATTTTGTCCAATTGCTCGAAAATTAGTTATTTCGACTGTCGACTCAGAATTTCTTCCAGTAATTTTACTTTTCAGAAACTGTAATGCTTGAACTTCTTTTAAGTGATTTACTATTTCTTGTCCAATATGTTTTGAACTATGAACATAATTGGCGATATATCCGTTAAAGCTTTCAAAAGGAAAAGCTGCTCTACCCCATAAAGGCCCCCAGCGCTTAACACACAGAACAAGATGCAGAAGTTGGTGAACATTATATGTTAACTTTCGATCTCCATATAAAGTCTCAACTTATTTGACAAAAGACGAAAATAAATCTTGTGCTTCATTGAGGTTTTCCTCTGTAATGATTTTTTGAAGTAAACTAAAAAGGCCTTTAACCAAGAGTATCCAATGGTCAATAAATTTAACTGGTAAATAATTATCTAGCGCTGGAAGAGAGTAGAACAAAACCCAATTATAAAATTCAGAAGCCTTATAATGTTTAAATAATGTTAATTTACGTGGCATTCTTCCAAAAAAATAAGGTGGTCGAATATTTAACATAAAAGAATCGATTTCTTTAATTGGGTCTTTTTTTAGTTTCCACGGTCCTTTTTTTTCTAGCTACAAATTTGTGAATTGTCGAACAACTCCTAATAAAACAGAATGCATATATTCTGTGATAAAGCATGTTCCCATATTAATCAAAGTCAGTCTTGATACAATAGAATTTCCTTTGATACTTTTCACATGACTTTTATCGCAATTCATGACTTTGAGGACCTGATGTTTGATTCTTTTTCCAGTTCTTAATGTAGCTTCCTCAAATTTATAAATACGTATTGTTTTTTTTCCGGTAACAGCAAGACATTTTTTGGATTTTATTTCACAAATATTACACCCGTAACGACCATTAAAGTTTAAAATATTTTGAAGTTAAGCTCTTGCAGGTGCATCCGCTATTATCAAGGGAACTACAATTCTTGAAATTATTTCTTCACCCGTCTCGGGATGGGTCCACACAATACCATCTTTGAAACATTGTTGGAACTTTGTGACAAACGGTTTCAGAAATGTGTTCATAAGTGGTTTGCAATCTGTATCATACCAGAGGCCTATTGTCGTCAAATATAATTCTCGGAGGTAGTCTGGAAGTTCCGCTATGAAAAACATTATTGGCCAACAGTGACTTCCACTGCTTTTTACTAACGAAAGACCATCCGTATTTAACACTAATGTTAAATCGTATTTTTGACGATTCAATCTAGAATTCACTTTTATATATTCAGACCCGTCTGTAATATCTGTAATATTACCATCATCCCTCTGATGCACTTGAATCAATTTTTTAAAAAGATTCCCATGCTCAAACATGTGTTTAATCTGATCGTGTACATTAATTTCGAAGAAAAACCAAAATATTTTTTCAAAGCGTGACAAAAAGAGCAGTTTTCAATTTCTGTGTTAATATTATTGTAACAAAAACATTTTTTTACAATAAAAATGTTTAATAATGTTTAACGGAGGTGCTAATTGATGTACGTATTTAAATAATTGATACACAGTTTTTGGTAATTGATTACTTTCCGGTAAGAAATTTTGCAATAATTTTAAAATATCGTTTAAACAAGCTTTAGTTAATTTATGTCGTAAATATAGTTCTAAAACCATTGAACAACCATCCGCAATCAAAATACTTGTTGAAGTACAACCACTACAGTTATCATTCAAGCTTGAATTATTAGGTGTATTGCTCTCCCATCGTTGCAATGTTCTTGTTGGTATCCGCAGTAGAAATGAAAATAATTATATTAGTAATAAAGTAATGGGTATATTTACTTATTAACTTATAGACAGTCTTGAAATTTATAATGCTTCTTTGGAAATTTTTTATTAATATTTTTTTAATGTAAGCTATAAGCTCAGAATCATCGTTTTAATATAACAACATGAGGTCAAAAATTAATTTATATATTATATTAAATAAATTAATATATATATATATATATACCGGAGCGGTATCATCTTCTTTCCACCGTTTATATTTTTTTAATGGAGGTAGTGACAAATCAGCATCACGTTCTGGCAATCCTCCATCCGTGCTTGACATCTTTAGATCAACCCTGAATAATTTTTTTTTTTAAATTACAAGAATGAAACTATGATTATGAATTTAGATGAAATAGAATATATAATAAAATATTTTTTGAATTGTAAATAAATGAATTGATATATATATATATATATATATATATATACCTTTTGTTCCATTTCCTAACCAATGCATTTTTTTACTTTCGATTTATTTATACTTTATTAATTATTCTTTCAACTACAACGATGATTTAATATCTTCTAAATTCATGATATAGTCTTGAAATTTACAAAATTACTATTTTATTTTAATAAACATATATATTACATACTTAAAAATTAATAATAAATAATTGGTCATTGTAAATTTCTGTTATGGAAAAGACCTTTGTGTT